CAAGCAATCCCCGAACCATACGGGTCCTCGGAGACATAAAATTAACACTGTCACCTAAACCTGGAAGCCAAGGAATAAGCTCACCAGCAACAATTGCAGCACGAGAATTTAACATGACACTAGGAGGGTTGCTATCTTCATCCTCTTCAAAACTCTCAACTCCACCCATGGTGGCAATAAGTGAATCAACAACAAGGAAAGCAGTGGTCTCTGACTCCTCTCCAGAGCCAAAATTCTCGACACCGCAAACAACATTCTTTAGTTTGTCTAAGCTTTCAGGCTTCCCCATGATGGCTGAATCCACTAGATGCAGTAGTTCTGGTGAAACATTTGGAATTGTAGCCTTTGGTTTGGGCTTCTGCGGGGAATGAGCCGGGGAATATCCAGATTCTGGATGGTAGAAAGAATCCAGGTTAGTTGCAGACAGGGACGTCTTCATGGAATACGACGACTCTCTCTCTGGCCCAGGGCTCGAGAGTCGGTCACTCTGCACATCATCCATCGGCATCAAATCATAAACCTCCTGAGTCTTGGATAAGTGATAAGTAACTCCTTCGTTGCCACCAAATGACGACCTCCCAAGATCAGAATTTGAAGTGCTTCCAGGTTCCTTAACATCACCCTGAGATTCATTTGCAGCCTTTTCCTGATCTCCCAGAGAAACTTGTTCAAAATCATCATCCTTAAATACTCTATCAATTGAACTGATCCCTTGTAAACCTGTATCATCCTTAGCATTAAAACCAGAATCCCTTATATCAAATGCCTCTATCCTATTCTGCTCAGGAAGATGAACAGAAGCTTCTACGAGCTTTCTCTCATCATCTTCTTCCATTTATCAACTTACACTCATTCACAGACCTGTTGTACATCCAATTAAGTAAAAAGTTTAAGCTTGTGACACAAATACATCGACACTGATAGAGATGAGTAAGAGCAATGTACGAAACAAAAATTCGTTTACTCACTATGATATACTCACATAGATCTACTAAAGCAACATATACACAACATGAAAAACAAAAATTCGTGCAAATCACAGAACATTTGAGATCTCTGTGCCTTAGACATATGCAGATCTTAAAGAGGATTTCGAAATTCGTATAATTCGCGTACATCAACGGAAACAGGAACCCAATAGAGAACTCTTAAACGATAAATATGCTAAAACAAATCAATGTGGAAAGAGAATACGCACAGATCGGACCGGAGAGATGTTCAGATATGAATCAATGAAAGCAAATCGGAAGCAACTGAGATAGACTAACAAATCTGGACGGATTCTCTATCTTACGGCGGCGCAACGAAACGGAGAAATGTAAAAGTGATTCAATACGACGA